ATATTATGGAGAAAATTCTAACTTTTGATCACAAGGAGTTTTTGCACAGATTTAATGGCTTTTCTTTTCCTACACTGCTGTTATTATTATTAGCGTAGTTTCTTAGATATTAGCATCCATGTAACATATGTGAATTATAAGGCCACTCAAAAGAACTATGCTGCGTGGGCAACAGCACTTTTTATTTTTATTGTTTTTTTGAGCAGTGATCAGCTGTGTCATAAGAAAGGCAAATCACATCCACTAATTAACTGATCATATTAATATCTTTTATTATGACACACCTAGCCACCTGTTTACCTTTAGTAGACCTTTAATAGACTGAATGTGAGTTGATTTTCCTGATGAGTGATAGACCAAAACATCTGGTGATTTTTAAAAAAAAATCCACTGATCTTTTAACTTACTTTATTTCTTCCTAGAAAATGTCCTATTGACATACAAGTTAACTGTTCTTAGTATTTCTTGTACAATGACATCACAGCTGGCTCTGTAATTAACAGCTTCCCTGTGGTTTTTCTCACCATGGTTCATAGAAAGTCCTAAGGGAAGAAGTTTCTGTGCTCGGGGTAAAAGGAAAGGCTTGGTTTTGAAAAAGGAGCTGGATTCTGTCAGATAAGAGAAAAAACATTTCAGGGTAGTATTTCTGTCATCTGTCCAGGAGCTTTTGGGGGGAAGAATATTTGTTTTAATGGTATTACAGCTCAAGCATCTAAGACAGCGCCTAGTGTAGTAGCCCCTCAAAAACTGTTGAACCAAAGATAAAATATGCACAGGGACAACTGACAGTGTTGTTACCAAATTCCAACTCTGAGCTGTATATATGTCAAAATAAAGCCACAGAGGGGCATAGGGGCTGGTCACAGGTACTGTGTGTACAAATGTTGGGAGTTGGGGGGTGGGGAGGGGACATGGCTTGAAGGGTGGGCTGGGATCAGTGTGTAAAAGGTCTTATACACTGTAACTAGGATTGAAAGTTTAGCCATCGGAGGTTTTAAACAGAAAAGTGACCCATTTAGATCTATTTTAGAAACATAATTCTGGTAACAGTGAAACAGAGAGAGAGAGACAAGGGACAAGAAGACACCACGGCAAGAGACAGATAAGGGTCTGAAGTTGGCTATGGCAATGGGATAAGGGGGAAGATATAAACAGCTTTGAGAAAATTCAGGTGGAAAACAACAGGAATGGTGATGACTGATTAAACAAAAAAGGGAGTGCCCCATCTGGAATCGTTTTGGGATGCAGGTGGAAAAACCAGGTAATCAGCTTGTTCTAGGACATGCTGAGTGAGCGCATGTAACACATCGAGGTAGTTCAGTTAGAATTAGATGAAATCGGTGCCAGTGACAGGCTCCCTACTAACCCATAGCATTTAACACATTGCATGATAAGAATTTATTTATGAACCCGTTTCCTGTCCCACTGGTAATTGGGACAAGCATCATTTTAATCACTTCACATCACCTATGCAAAATAAATACATAAAAAAGTTTGACAACTGACGGTGTGTTGTTACCAAATTCCAACTCTGAGCTGTAGATAGGTCAAAATAAAGCCATATGCGGGGGGCTGGGGGGGAGAAATTAGGCATTTAGGATTAACGTATACACAACTATTATATATAAAATAGATAACAAAGACCTACTGTATAGCACAGGGAACTATACTCAACATTTTGTAATAACCTATATGGGAAAAGAATCTGAAAAAGAATATATATATGTGTACATAAATACATATATGTATAACCGAATCACTTTGCTGTACACCTGAAACTAACACAACATTGTAAATCAACTATACTTCAATTAAAAAAAATTTTTTTTAAAGAGATAGCTCTAGGGCTTCCCTGGTGGCGCAGTGGTTGAGAGTCCGCCTGCCAATGCAGGGGACGCGGGTTCGTGCCCCGGTCCGGGAAGATCCCACATGCCGCGGAGCGGCTAGGCCCGTGAGCCATGGCCGCTGAGCCTGCGCGTCTGGAGCCTGTGCTCCACAACGGGAGAGGCCACGACAGTGAGAGGCCCGCATACTGCCAAAAAAAAAAAAAAAAAAAGATAGCTCTAGATGATACGTTAAAAAGTGTGGATGTATATCTGTTATATGTAGTTTTACTCTGTACTATTATTTTTCTCCCACTCTGTAATGAGTAGGGGAAAAGAGCCATATGCAGAGATACCACAATAACCACCAAAACAGTGACAGTACTCTCAATGTATTGCCAAACAATGAAGGCACTAGGTGTTATATTCAAACGTGATTTAAGAAAAAAGTTAAACTTGTTCTTTAAAGGCCAAATCAACCATGAAACCCAATAAAGACAGGAGAAAAAAGTAGTTGTAGAAGAAATCCAAGAATGAAATTGTAACAGTCGTGAATTGCTTTGCCTTATGCTTTAAAATGTACTCTTAAAAATTCTTTAACTAAAAAAATAATTCTAATAAAAAGCTATAGGTGAATAGTAGATATAATTTCTGTGTTCATAGGTATCAATCATTGTATGGTAGGATATGGAATTCAGGATATAGAATTCAGATCCTTGATACTAAATAGAATACAAATGGGAAAAGAACTTGAAATTTTTGCAATGGTAAGAATGTATTCAATAAACTGTATACCTTTCAATCTATAATAGACTGTTATGTATGTTTTGATTGTATGCCTCAGGTAAAATCGAACATCTTTATTAAAAGACACCATACCGGGCTTCCCTGGTGGCGCAGTGGTTGAGAGTCCTCCTGCCGATGCAGGGGACACGGGTTCGTGTCCCGGTCCGGGAAGATACCACATGCCGTGGAGCGGCTGGGCCCGTGAGCCATGGCCGCTGAGCCTGCGCGTCCGGAGCCTGTGCTCCGCACTGGGAGAGGCCACAACAGTGAGAGGCCCGCGTACAGCAAAAAAAAA